AAAAAATTTGTGCAATGTTTTGATGGTTTTAAATTCTTTTTCCAGCCACTGGACAGCAAGCAAACCTCAAGAAAATTTCACACAAAAATTCAAGGCCAAGTGCTACTAGTGATGTTTTGATTCACTTTGATTTTTCTAGGTTTTTCTCTTTTGTTTTCTTTTCTTTTTCTTGTATTTTGTCTCTTTTTCTTTTCTTTTCTTTGGAACACAGAATATTAGCACTTAAAACAGAGGCCAAACAATTTAATAAGAGGTTTCCAAGTGGTGGAGAAAAGAAGAGCAAGAAGTGTAAGCAATGTAAGTGTACTAGTCAAAATTTTCACACAAAATTGTTACTAGTTTTAGTACTAGTTTTTTTTTTTTTTTGTACACTTTAATTTTCGGTTTGAATACACTTCTAACTCTATTTTGTTTTTTAAAACAAGCACAAGACACACAAGGAATTGCTGGTCACAAATTGCCAAGAAACAAATAGCAATTGAAGTTCACAAAAATTTGACTCTAGAACATGTTAGGTCTAACAACATGCATTGGAATCAATTTATGAGCACTCTAAGAATATTAATGTTTAACCAGCAATGACACTATATTAGAACAGCATTTTGGAAAGTTTCCTAAAAAGTGTGCAAGTGAGGACAAAGCACATTGAAATGTCTTATATTGGTTCATATGGTCATTCGTTGATCCTAAAAGCGAAAGGACATCTTAGAAAGGGCTACCCATTAAGGGTTCTGATTGATGAAGGATTCTAACTAACGAAGAGTTGTGTGAAGTGTCATCATGTGAAGTATCGTGGATTAAAGTCATTAAGACATCAAATCTGAAGGGTGTTACAAATGGTATTAGAGCATGGTTCTCTCTCCTAGTCCAGTGTGATTCAAGGACAAATCAAGCAAAATCTGGTGGGCTTGGAGACACCGGAATGAGAGAGATTCAAAGATTTATACAAGTGTAAGATCATACAATTGAGGATAACATAAAAGAATTGATTTGTATTACCTATATTAACAAGATGCATCTACTTTTTAATAGCTCATCACTTAAAAATTTCACAATTAAACATGTTTGGCTTAAAACAATTTAGGGATAGGTAGCTTTTTGAAAAGTTTCCCTATGTATATTAATCTAAGTCATTATCTCAAAAGGAGAGATATTATATTAAAATAAAATTAGATAACAAATGTATAATACAAATTTCCTAATCTTGATAATTTAATTTCATAAAAAAAATATATTGATGTTATCAATTGTCTACTTGACAACAAATATTTTTTTCACATTTCTAAATATTAATATTAATTTAATATATTAAATTATTAGGCATCATCTTAATTATCTTTGCTCACGTTTAATTAAAAGTATTATATCTATTTTTATTGTTATAGTATTAAGAGATAAAAGGATAGTTAATGAAAGGATAGTTAATGAATTATTTGTGGAAGAGGCATAAATATAACACTTTATTTTAATGACATTGATGCATGAGTAAAATTAGACAAGAACTCAAATATGATAAAAAGTAATCTCATTAACATCTTTTAATTGTTAATTAAGGTCATTATTTGAAAGTCTTTCTTTATGAGATATTTATCTTTTACATTATCGACCAAGTTACAATGAGCATGAATTTTGGAATTCAATAGATAAATCTCCTTTTTTTTCTCTCAATAATAGATAAAAGTGTGTTGAAGTTGAATATATATGATTCAGTTATCGGTCATTAACTAATATATATGATATATAGAAGAGATTAAAAATCAAATATTTTAATATCATTCGTTTGAATTTTATGTTAAAACTATTTATAAAATCTTCGGTGCTATGAAATTTAGTAAAATTAATTATAAAATATAATTAATTCTAAATAGTTAATATAGTATCACAGTAAATTATAATATGATGTATTTAATCCGTAGTTGAAAAAATATCTATTGTTTAATATTATAATATAACTAATTGAACTTAAATTATTTTTTATTTTTATATAATATAAAAATTTATTGATTAGAGATATCATTAAAATTACAAAAATTTCATAGAATTTTTTTTGCAATATATTTAATTACAAATAAAAATACTTCAAATTATTTTGTAATATTAACGTGTCATTTAATAAATTAGATTAGATATAAATTAATTATCAAGTCAACATTTTGTTTAACAGTCATTTAAATATACATTTTATTTAAAATATTTAACATCATTTATCCATTATAAGATATTTACATAGTATATAATTATTATATATATTTAAAAATAGTATATTAATAACATTATAAATTAATTAAAAGTGTTTCACGTGTATCACACGAATCACCGATCTAATTTAATTAAAGTGTATATAATAACTATATATAGTTAAAATCACCGATCTAGAAACCCAAAAATTTTGTAGTTGTTTCTAAAATGTTAAATCAAACGAGTAATTGATCGTTTAAATTGTTATTAAACCACGTAGAGACGATAATTCGTTTATTTTTACTTTATAACTTGTACAATCAGTACATGAAGGTGTTCTAAAGAGGCACAATTAATGCTGACGGGTGATTGCAATTAAGGTCGATTCCCAAAGGAAAACAAGGTTAACGTTGAAAATTGTGTGAAAATAGGATGAAAAATCCAAGGGATATTTTTAATAACACTAACATGCAGTATCACAGGACAAACAAGTGGAACTAACAGTAATAATGTGTTTAGATAAGAAATTTTAAAAGTTTAAGGAATCATTTATCCAGGGAACAAACATGTACTTAGTAGCAAAAATCAGAAGAAATGAGAAAGATTAATAACTCAAATGCTTATATTAATTGTAAAAAGGTGTTGGACCACCTCATGTCTATTCTCGCATAAAGTAAATCAAATCAAGACTTTCAAGACATTAAAGGCCTTCAACGTGTTCGGGGATATATGGCAAACCAGAATTAAATTCTTTAGAATTTTTTTTCATTAAATATATAACTTTGACACATTTTGAAAAGGATCTAATTGACAAAAAAGAACAATGAATTTCACAAAATATAATGGATCACTCTTATCGCTGATTCCCCAGTACCAGTAATTTAGCAACATAGATATAAAAATAATAATAATAATAACAATTAGACATTTCTTTTTATTTTTTACATCAAGGTGAGGGAAAAAATGTTTTTAGCAATACATTTAAAAACTTCCGGGTGACCATGGGGCCGTATCACCCCCTCCAACTACACATATATACACAAACCGTATCAAGTAAATGTTTATAATTATTACAAAAATATAAACTATAAATCTGAATTATACAACTATACATAAATAGTTAATTAAAAATTGTCACATAACTATAAAAGCCACAACAATTCTTTTTAATCTCACTCTATATAAGAACCAAATTCAATAATTTTTCATGTAGACACTAAATTCAAAAGTAAAAATAAACATCACATATATGTAAGGATCAAAATTTTAGTTTAACCTAGAGAACTAAATTAGCCATGTGATCCACTTGTACATTGCCATCAACCACATAAAAAATGGGCTGTTTACATTGGCACAATCTGCAATTTCAGTTATATCGTTACTTTGACACTAGTTGTACACTTCCTGACGTACCAAAGAATAAGTTAATAACTCGTATAAACTCAGTTTCTTAGTAAACTTCTTTCCCATTGGAATAAGCCAGATCTCTCTAAATCTACAGGAGATAAACAAGCCGACTCTAATTTATTTCCGCTAAGAACATTTGAGATAATCACTAACAAAGTTTGGCAAGAATGATATTCCTCCATCTTCTGAGAATCAGTGAGCTCCGGAGTATGATCCTTCCAGGGATGATAAAACGACCTAAACAACAAACAGGTCCTCCAATTTGATTAGTTTTCAAGCAAACATAAATACCAAAAATAGACATCGTTAGTGATAGCAGTAAATTGTTTAAAAATAAATTAATATTATAAGGTCAATTAAAAATTCAACGCTAGAGTCTCCAAAAAACTAGACGTGACCCAAGAATTATATAAATTTAGCTAAGGAATTATGTTTTCCTTATTTAACATCATGACTACAGACCAAATAAAGATAAGAATTAGAAGACTCGGAAAAATTACCATCTCCAAGTTGGATTAGCTTCAGGAGGACACCGTACCCTTGAACTGTGTGATGATATTAAACTATCGTAGTCTCGCAATAAATCAATTCTGCCCACTAAAGATTGAAGTAAAAAGCATAAATATCTGGCCCAAAGCGGGTCGATACAAACATAAAACTAAAATGTTAACTCTGATGAATAAAGTAGCTTACCTGCAAAATTAGAGTCACCAAAAATCAGGAGACAGAGAGCACATACAACTGATGGTAGCATTTCAGGATTGATACCAAGAAGCAGTTGGAGATAGAAAATTGTTGAAGCTAGTAACTCCTCAGCACCAATATCAATATCATGTCTTTGTCCGGAGGTATTTTCAACTTGAACCAGTAAGGAATGCAGGGATTCAAAGTTGTGTGTTTCAGTGAATCCTGTATCCATATTATCAGATGTTTTATGGAGTTTTCCAATGATAACTGATGCTGTCAACCAACGTAGATATGCTGAAACTACTGAGTTCTTTCGAAAATCTTCCCTTAAATTATTTCTGAAAAACTGAGACTCGTTGAACCCCAGCCTTTGTGAAGACTCTGACTGTAAAGCAGTTGTAGTTGCCCAGATAAGAAAGCTTTGAAGCCTTTCTTGATTCTGTATATGTACAAGTGTGGTGGTTATTCGTACCCACTCAAAAACAGTCTATATAATTAAGACGTGTAGCATTTGTACTTGTGATCATGTATAGTTATTGCACGATACGATCCACCCACTCATTTACCAAAATCCATAATTGTAAGCAAATTGATCAAAATAAAAAGATGTATTCCCTTAATCAGAATTGTGCTTTAGCCTGATGATGTACATCTTAGAATGCATGATTCAGTTCTAAAAGAGGAGACAATTGGGAAAAAGTAATAAACTCAAAATAGTAGTGTATTCATAATGACAAAGGTAATCCGAATGGATTACATCAAGCCTTTTATATGGGCAACAAACTAGCAAAACTCAACTACCAAAGACCTAACCAATTATATCTCTAATAGTATGCAATTTCTCCAAGGAATAAACATTTAATATAGTAGAGTGCGAAAAAATATAATAAACAAGTCAAATCTAAAAATCAAAACAATTACAAATGCCAAAAATATTTTCAAAATTAAATCTTTTACAAGAGCATGAGTAAAATAATTTATTATATAACATATAGTGAAGGTGAGTAATCAAACCTAATCATACAACATTTGAACAATTTTAAACCCTACGAAGTATGAACAGTGAATTTCATTTATTATTTTCATATTCAAGTATCATATTAACCAATACACGATGTAAGTGCATTGGTGTAGCTTAAGTCTAATAAATACATTAAATTATAAGCAATCCAAGATTGATAGTATGTCTTTCAGCAAATGATTTAAAAAATATACAATAATCAGTGATCAAGATTTTTATATTAAAAAATAAATAAATGAGGGGGATCAAAGGAAGTACCATCAAGAAAATGGAAACAGGAGGTGCATTCATAAGTATCGCTTCAAGAGCAAGCTCTGGTTTAATGCTTTTTATGGTTTGATTACACACACTGCCAGCCTGGTACATCTGATACAAGCCCTCAATTGATAGGGTAAAATGTGGCTGATCTACTTTCCTTTTTTGAGATAATTTCAACATTGATGCCATCATTCTAAGAAAAGGATTAATTAGTACGGCAGTTCCATTTGCCAAAGTAACATCATGGAGTATGAAATTAAATAGATTGGATGAAAGCTCCATGAGCTGCTCAAGGCCATGATTTTGCAACCACTTGGAGATGCTTCCAGATGAAATAACATCATTGACAACCTAAATAATAGTAGCGGTACTCAGTGCAAAGGAAAATGAAAACCGCAATTCAAAAAAAAAAAATAAACAAATAAACAAATATGGACATGGATTGTTTTTCAAGCATAAACAGGTTACAAAATTTAACAACAATACATTAAAATGTCATTAGCAAATCAGTTAATATGTAATTTCCACTCAAGGGAATCAAAAAGAAAGCTTTGACTATCAATTTTAGGCAATAACCTTTATGGTGTTGAAGCTAATCCAAGCTTATAGGTAAACAATAGCAGGTAACCTTTCATATAAGTTCTAAGGGAGTGTTAGTCTCACGTTATCAATTTTCATTCCCGAGAATCCTAGGAATATAATAGTGAGAATGACATTCCCGGATATTTTAAGAAAATGTGTTTCGATAGTGATGGTAATGTTTTAATAAAAGTGGGTGTGAAGGAAGTTAAAATGAATAAAAATAAAAAACAATTGTGACGTCATGGGAATCAACTTACTCACCTCCTCGCTTGGGAATAGAAGTATGAGAATATGGAAGTTATTTCATTCCCAGGAATAAAATTTGTAACCTAGTAACAGATATGAGAAAACACATTCTCTCTATCCATGTATTTCCCAGAATATTGCAAGATAACTTGAAACAAATGCCCCCTAAATGATCCAGCATGCCAAGGAAATTAGGAGGGGGAGTTTTCCTGAACAGTCTTAGGTCGCAAATAAAATTTAACATGCACAAAAGACAGGTTAATGACTGTTTTATGATTTAAACTTCCACCTTTTCAGAAAAACTTGGATTATCAGACAGGCTCCAAGACCAGAGGGATCAGCTTTTGAGTAAATGCAATATGTGCCCAAAGATATGGAGTGTTTACACTGGAAAGAGAAGAGAGAAGAGGGACATGGCAGTCAACAGGCATAGAAGGTGGTAATGCAAAGCGGAGATTCTGTAGCAGCTGTAGCAATGATTGGAAAAAAAAATACTTGGAAGGAGAAAGATTCAGAAATTGTGAGAAACAGCCTGTGGCTTGGGACCTACAGTTCTGGTAGCTGAGAAGGTAAGGTATATCTTTTGAGTTTCCTAATCTCCATTCTACAGTCTTCCTTTCTTTTGGTGTGTGTATTCTGACTTGATAATTGCTATAAGTTAAGTGAAATGCTGTGAGATCTAGTGGTTAGGTTTAACTCTAAAGAGTGTTGATACATCCAGCACTACATTCAATGAACAGCCTTGCTCAAAAAATATGCAGGCTGACATGTTATAATTTTAGAAAACCCCCAACATATTTGAATGAAAAATCAGGAAAATATTAACAGTTAGAATTAACGAAACATAATAAATAATGCAGGTCAGGAAATGGGGAGAAGGACCTTTTGGCATCCAATAGGTACTACAAACTGAATGAGTATCGCTTACCTTCAAAGCTACAAACACATGTTTCAAGAAATGTTTACTTTCATCTCCATTAAGCCTCTGTCTGGTAACTGAGATGAGACACGAAAACCATGAAAATAAAGAACACTCATTCACTAGATGACGTGCAATCTCACGCAATTTAACAGATTTCTTTATCACCTGCAAAATGAATAAGATATCCCTATGTTAAATTGGTAGAGTTAAAAGGAATAGTCACAGCGAGAATCACACTGGAAAAAAGCATATTTCATCATATTGCAAAACATCTCAAACCATTGAAGGGTGTGTTGGGTAAACAACTTAGTAAAGCACTATTCAGCAAGCATTATTCAACCCTATGAATGCCCATTTCTTCAAGGAGAAGCATAAGTTAGATCCACTTATCCAAAGCTACAATCAGAAACTCCTTCACATTGATGCCATCACAACTATGAAACATTTAAGGTGATAATAGAAATTTATTTCCGATAATAGTTCTCATGCTCTAACCACCTGGTTGTTTAAAGTGCAAAATCAGGTCCAACAAAAAACAGCAACTTAAAAATAAAAAATAAAAAGACCATCAGGCATGGGAACAGGTCAGATGTATCAACGGATGCGAATAGGTCAAACTTTGTATATACAAGTCAAACCTGTTCTATAAAATTCAAGTCTAAATCCGACCTAGTCTTTTTAAAAAGTCTAGTTTGACTTATTAATCTATTTTACATAAATAATGCAAAATAGGCTAATAAACTTAATTTTAAATAAGCCAAAAAGAATATCTTTAAATATGTGTGCGAGTCTTTTTTTCATTTGTCTGATAAAAAAATAATTTATTTTATTCTTATTAAAATTTAGAGTTTAAAATAAAAATTAAATACTAAAATAAGAGAGACAACTCATGCATATCCATTACAGTCATGCGATAAAAAAAGATAATCTTATCAAAAAAAGACTTTCTAAATATTTTATATATCCTATTTGAAATATTCTAAATAAACAATCATAAAGATGAAGG